CTCTGCACTGATTCTTACCCAGGGAGAGAGCTTTGCTGGTTAGGATGTGGCAGAGTGATAAATATAAAAATAGCAGGGAGGCATAGTTTGAAAAGCCTTCTAGGGGATTCTCAAATATTGCTTTGACAGTGGTGGCATGGTGGTGGCAGAGAGCTTGACTTTGTCCACACCCTTTGCAGTTAAGAATGCTGATTAAAATAACATGATTACATATATGCAGCACTGTATAATTTGCTTCAAATTATTTTGACTTCCCCCTGGGTGGCTCAGTCAGTTAAGCATCTGACTCTTGTTCGCGGCTCAGATGTTGATCTCAGGGTCATGAGTTCAAGCTCCATGTTGGGCTCTCTGCTGGATGTGAAGGCTACTTAAAAAAATATATGTTTTGGCTCATTGTGTATATTATATTGTAAAGCATTCATTGAGAAAAAGGCAAATCAAAGAAACTTTTTCAATGGAAGAAGTATTTCTGGTCCTAAAACTAATTCATTTGTCTTTACGGTCATAGCTCTTCCCTACTCTGCAAATCCCCAACTTCCCTCATATTCCATTCTAAACCAGTGGTTATTCTCTTTTCCTTGTCTTCATAATCTGCTCAAGAACTGATTTTTTACCTTTTGGATTTTGTCTATTATTTGTTCATTTTCTATGTAATTGATTTCTTCCCTTATTTTCATTAATCCCTATTGTATCACCCCCACCCCAAATTTGTCAGATATTGAAATTGATGATTTCACATATGCACAGCAAGAGGATATGAAAAGGTTCATTACTCATTTTTTTAATGTTTTATTTATATTTGAGAGAGAGAGAGAGAGAGATAGAATACAAGCGGGGGGAGGGGCAGAGAGAGAAAGAGGGAGACCCAGAATCCATGAGACAGGCTCCAGGCACAGAGCCCGATGTGGGCCTTGAACCCGTGAACCGCAAGATCACGACCTCAGATGGAGGTGGACACTTATTCGCTTAATCGACTGAGCCACCTAGGCGCCCTGGTTTATTTCTCATCTAATGAGGCTTTCTGGGAGAATAGGACAGGTTTTCAAGTGGACCTAAGAATGGCTTGACAGAGTAGGGGTAGGAGGCGACTTGGTCTTTATCACTGTTAGGTGGTGGGGTGGGGGTGAAGACGCAGTATGAGGCACGTGCTAGCCTGGTTGGAACTTCCCACTGACACCAAGGTAGTGAGTGCCTAAGCTTTCTGAATAGCTTGCCCACATATGGAGTAGAGTGGGAGGAGAGAGGCTGGACACTGTCAACAGTCAAACATCAAAAAAAAGAGTGAGACTCTTTATTATACCTCCATCATACCTCCTGGGAAGACTGTACGTTATGCTGTTCTGTGTAGTGTTCTATAAATGTCACACAGGTCAAATTGTTTGATGGTGCTGTTAAAATTTTCGACATTTTTATTGACTTTTTTGTATGTGTCTTTTTCCATGAGTCATTCAAAGGTATTAAATTCTGCAAGTATGATTACGGATTTGTTGATCTCTACCTTTAGTCTTGTCAACTGTTGTTTCATGTGTTTGGAAGCTTTATTATTACATGCTTATACCTTTAAGTTTATTATGTTTTCCTTTTATCATTATGGAATACACCTCTTTACCTCTGGTAATACTGCTTAAATTTTTAAAAATATTTATTTATTTTTGAAAGAGAGAGAAAGAGTGAGCCATGGAGGGGCAGAGAGAGAGAGAGGGAGAAAAAATCTGAAGCAGGCTCTGGGCTCTGAGTTGTCAGCACAGAGCTCAATGTGGGGCTCAACAGTGAGATCCTGACCTGAGCCGAAGATGGATGCTCAACTGACTGAATCACCCAGGACCCTTCTGATCATAGTCTTCATCTGCAGGTCTGCTTTGTCTGATGTTAATATAGCCACATCTGATTCCTCGTGCATAGTGTTTGCATGGTTTAATTTTTTTATTCTCTTACTTTCAAATTTTTATGTTAAATGTATGTTTCATGTTAACAACATATACTTTGGTCTTGGAATTTTGTTTAGTATAACAATCTCTGCCTTTGTATAAAAGATATTTAGACTATTCACAGTTAATGTAATCACTAATATGTATGAGTTTAAATGTATCATCTTGTTATCTGATATCTATCTTGTCTGATCTTTGTTCCTTTCTTTCTCTTTTCTTGCCTTTTTGGAGGTTTGTGTGTATGTGTTTGTGTGTGTGTGTGTGTGTTTGTGTCTGTGTGTGTGTGTGTGTGTGTGGGTGATGGATCCATTTTATTTATTCTATTGATGTTTTTATCATGCCTCCTTAGGATATTTTTCTTTAATGGTGTTTTAGAGATTACTAAATGCATCTTTAACTTATTACAGTCTGCCTTCAAAAATATTTTACTACAGGCACACCTGGTTGGCTCAGTTGGTTAAATGTCTGACTCTTGATCTCAGCTCAAATCTTGATCTCAGGGTCCTAAGTTCAAGCCCCATGTTGGGCTTCATGCTGGGCATGGAGCCTACTTAAAATTCTTTTTTTACTGTTTCATAAAACATTTAGGAATTTTGCAAAAGCATGTTTCCAGTTGTGAACTTCCCATGCTTTATGCTCTTGGTCATACATATTTTATTTTTATAAATGTCATAACCTCCAAAGCATTGTTTCTTTATAATTTTGGCTCAGAAAGTTAATAAGCTCTTCAATGGTAATTTAAAAATATAAATGGTAATATATTATACAGCTATTTTGTGTTTACTATCATATTAATCCTTTTGGTGTCTTTTCTTCTTTCCTGAAAAACTGGATTTTCTGGTATTTCTAGTCAGACTAAGGAACTTCAGTTAGTAACTCTTATAGTACAGGGCTGCTGGGAGTGAATTCTTTCTGTTTTCATCTGGTTGAAAATATCTCTATTTTGCCTTCACTTTGAAGGATATTTTTGTTGAATACAGACTTCCAAGCTGACAGTTTTTTCTTGAAGCACTAACGTATGCTATTCCCTAGTCTTCTGGCCTCTGTTGTCTCATTTGTGAAATTGGCTTGCATTCTTACTGTTGTTTCCTTACATGAAATCGACTTGATTGTCATTATTCATAGATTCATGATTTGCAAATTCACTTACTTGCTAAAATTTATTAGTAATTTCCAAATCAATCATTGTGGCCCTTTTGCTGTGATTCATAAACATGTGCAGGGTGGTAAAAATGTTTGAGCTGCCTCGTGTGCAGGTTGCCAGGTGTGGTTGTACAGGGCCACACCCTACTTCCTTTTTTAGCTTTCATATTTATTTATTTAAAAAAATTTTTTTTACATTTATTTATTTTTGAGAGACAGAGAGACAGAGCGTGAGCAGGGGAGGGGGAGAGAAAGAGGGAGATGGAGAATCTAAAGCAGGCTCCAGCATCTGAACTGTCAGCACAGAGCCTGATGTGGGACTCGAACCCACAAACTGTGAGATCATGACCTGAGCTGAAGTTGGCCACTTAACCGACTAAGCCACCCAGGTGTCCCTTAGCTCTCATATTTAAACAAGTGTTCTTTTTGTGGTCTCTTTAACGCCTCCTCTATTTTTGCATTTCTTTCCATTGTTTTTGGTGATTTCACTGTTTCAAATGGTCCCCACAGTTGAATATTAGTGAATCAAAAATACAGTACCTCCAGAAAAAGGAAGAGGAAGTTCACCTACGCAGCATGAGTCTGCTCCAGAGAGTGCTAAAGTAACTTATCTACTCTGTAATGAAGCTATGGAAAAGATGGGAAAGTGACTAAATGTGTGGATTTGTGAGATGACAACTTACTCAAAACCATAATGGACTGTATTTTTTTCTGAGACTGAAAACCAGATGAATTTGTGGTCACGTTTCCTAGGTTCAAGAAAATGTTAAGCCTATCTCAGGTAGTGCTGACCTCACTCTTGTGTTTCGAAAAGTGATATAATATGTCAAGTGTTAAACTAGCAAGCGAGGCAAGTTCTATAGATCAGGAGGCTAGGGAAGAACTTTAGAAATACCAGCTGCATTTTATATGAGGAAAGGTTATGTGGCACAGGAGGGTTGCATAATAAGACCGACCTTTTTTGTATGGATGTTGACAATGAATACATGCTACAGGTAGTGTTTCTATTGCTGAAACGGGACCAGAAGCTCACAAACACCTAACCCTGCCTAGCCCCTGGGAACAATAGTTCAATATTTACCAATTCAGTGTTTACAGTGACGTTTTTGAACACAACTACCTGAAATATCAAGAATCGACTATATGTCTTTTCATCTGGGTACGTTCAAGATTTTTCTCTTTATTTCATTTTCATTGTTTGGATTCTCATGACTTTTACATTCAATTCTCTGTACATTTACTGAATGAAGTTTGCTGAATTTCTTGGGTTTGTGGTTTTGGTCTTTTATTGATTATGTCAAAGTCTTAGCCATTATCCCTTCAAATATTTCTTTTCCCCATTCTTTCTTTCTTGTTTTTCTGGGACTCTGTGTATTAGACCAGAAGATAATATTTCACAGATCTTGGAGTTGACTTAATTTATTTTAACTCTTTTTCCTCCTTGAATTTTCCTTTGCATTTATATTAACTTGTCTTTATCTTATTTTTTTTTTTAAACATCCACTTGGCATTTAAATCCTTGGTAGCTTTCATCATCTGCTCATGAAAGCTGTTCTCTTTTTTTTTTTTTTTTTTGACAGGACCCATTAACTTATTGTTTTAATAACCCATCCTTATTATACAGGCCCCCATCTGATAAATTCAGCATTAGGTAGATTTAGCTCACCACAGTGCTCAAATTATCTGATAATAAAACCAGAGCCTTCCTTTAAGTGGGGCTTTGGATCTGAGTGCTTGAGTTTTTGTCTCAGTTTTCCTGCCCTCATCTGTCAAGAGCCTCTGTCCTTGCAATGTGGGGGAGGTGGTATCTCTTAGCATGTCTGTTCCTTCTCCGACCACTCAGTGAAGGTTCTGGAAGTTCTTGACTTCTCTCATTCTCCATATTCTTTTCTGTCTTTAGTGTCACTCTCGGTAGCTTTTGTGTCTTAGGCTTTGGGCATAGGGAGTCTGGCGCAGCTTTCTTGTCCTGCTGGCTCTCTTTCTTATGACTCTTCAGTGAGGACTCATGGAAGAGAATTGGTGAGTGGATGTAGATTTTGTTTGTTTGATGCACTAAGGGCTTCTAAATCTTCATGCCAGCTCATCCCAGGCTTGATAAAATTAGGGAAATTGTTGTTTTTCTTCCCATGTTCATAAACATGGCAACTTCTTCCTCCTGCCATGCTCCGTGAGGCTAAAAGCAGCCATGGGACCATTTTCTTCCAGGAGAGAATCATAATTTTTCTGGAATTCATTGGATTATGTTTCTTTGTGACCTCAGCTCTCAAATACGCTTTAAAAAACCCTATTGTTTTGTAGATTGTGCTACTTTGCTTTCTTTTTAAGAAGGGAAAGACATTCTCTTGAGACTTTTTATGTCTTAAATGGAAGCAAAGTGTCTCTTGTATCTTTAAACTCTTCTTTTCCTTTGATTTCTCTCTTTATCAAACTATTATTGTAAATCCTCCTCAGTTTGAAAACAAACAAGAAAGTGCCAGTAAGCTAATGGATAAGGCACTGGCCTCCTAAAAATGAATCAGCAGAATGACAATTCTTCTTTGACCATTCATCCTTTTTTCCCCTACTTCTCCTCTCCTCCAGACTAGAAAGAATAACTTCCCTCTGTTTTCTCCATTTCTTTTCCCTTTTAGTATTTTCTCAACTTACTTATATTTGGTTTCCAATGACTGAGACCTTTACTGTTTCTGTGACCTCCAAATACCAATTCAATCACCTCTCAATTTGTATTTTATTTTGACCTATTTGCTTTCAAAACATTTGAAATATTTTGTTATTTTGAAACTCCATTATTGCATGGCTTTACACCTCTGAAAAGTTCCTCCTTTCCAGTGTATATTTAGCATGTTGTTTTTCTAGAATTCTTCTAATGAATTCTTTTTGTGCTCTACACCTTTTCTGGGGGTCATCTCATCTGTGCCCATCAGCTTTTGCTTTTCGCTGAAGAATCAACTTACACCTCCAGCTCAGATCTCCATCCTGTCCTCCAGTGTTATATATTAAGCTGCCTTCAAGACCAATCATCAGATGCTCCTGGTTTTTTGTTTTTTTTTCCCTTTCCATCCCAAACCTCCTCTGCTTGAATTTTTATATCTTATTGAAAATTACACTGTTCTCTATGTGGTTTTCCCAACTAGGAATCTGGAAGCCATCATCAGTACCTACCATTTTGTTAATCCTAGTCATTCACCTCCCAGGCATTTCTCTAATGTTTCTTCTCTTCTCAGGTCCATTGCCACGTCTCTCTAAAGCTACAGCACCCTCACTGTGGCTATACCTTCTTTATATGTTTCCATGTGTTGTGATCAGCTCTCTTCCACTCTGTTGCCAGAGTTTCTTTCTAAAATGACAATCTGATTAGATTTTCCCTGTTTGAAATCTGTCATTGTATCCCTTATCATCTATAATGCTTAGCACGTAAGAAACACTCAATCGTTTTTGAAAGAATGAAAGGTAAAACTCAAAAATTATACTGAAGGGGAACCTGGGTGGCTCAGTCAGTTGAGCATCTGACTTCAGCTCAGGTCATGATCTCATGGTTCGTGGGTTCGAGCCTCGTATTGGGCTCTGTGCTGACAGCTCAGAGTCTGGAGCCTGCTTCCGATTCTGTGTCCCCCTCCCTCTCTGCCCCTTCCCTGCTTGCACTCTGTCTCTCAACAATAAATAAATGTTAAAAAATTAAAAAAAATATATACTGAAGTGTATTCAATGTCTTCTGTTCTCTGATCCTTGTCAATTTTTTCGACTTGACCTTCTATTTTTCTGCCCTTAGCCCTTCATACTCTGGCAATGATCAAATCTTTTATAGTTTCAGGACTAAGTTTCTTTGCCATTGACATGTTTCTTTTATATTTCTGAGTTATTTGCCTTTTTGTCTTTTCCCAAGAAAACCGGATGGTATTTTCCTTCTGTTCTAATGAGCTTGGGTGAAATCTCTACCCTAGCAATTCCTTACTGGTTTCTTATAGGTTAGATTCTCATAAATGATAGGTTGCTAAAAGGGGGAATTTGCCTTTCCTACTTAGTATCTGAGAATCTAGTAAACTGTCTGGTATATGATCAAAGCTCAAAAAAGTAGAAAGAAAAGAGTGTCAATTCAACCCAGGTTATGACAAACTAAACCAGGAACAGCTTGTGACATGCTAGAGCCTGTGGTTGGCTTATTTATTATTTATTAAAGATACCTTTCTTTGATTGGAAATAAATCATTTAAGACTGGAAAAAATATTTAGGAAAGCAATGATGAGGGGCAGAAGATGATAGGGACATAATAATTCTTTTCTATTTTTATTTTGTGTTTCCTTTGCAGAAGAGGTAATGAATAAAGAAAGCATTGGAGAAAAATCGTTTTGAGACTTTCTTTATTTCAGAATAGTTTTATGGTGAGGGTTGAGCAGACAGGAGAAAATCTCACGGGTCCATCATTAATGTAGTTTAGGCAGCAGGAGTAAGTTTTGCTGGTTTTAGAGGTTGCCAGAAGGGTTTGGACAGTCTGGGTCAGATCAACACTTGGAGGCAATGTAGGTAGAGAAAGTGCGGGGAATTATGAGCAGAGAGAAAAGTCAAGGATATGTCAGCAATAACACAGTAGCAGCTGACTTGATGAGGTAAGGTACTTTTTATGCTTCTTTAAATTTTGCTTCATTTTATAACTTGATGCATTTGTGAAACAGAGTAATCAGAACACATTAATTATTGCCCTGTGATTTTAGTGAGGAGTTAATTTTTTTATGAAGGTCATATGCGGATGAAATGTGAACCTCAGTTTGTGTGTGGTCTGTTTTCTTGAGTGATATTGTTGCCCCATCTTTATCCATCTGCAATGTCCTACCTGAGGCCATGATCTTGGAGGTAACCCAGGCTTGGTCCCGGGAAGGGAATGGCTTGTCTTTGGGAGGCTGACCTAGTATTTCTGGATTGAAGAAAGATGTAGATCACCCAGGAAAATAAAAAAGCATGTGGGAATCAGTCATAATATCTTTAGGTAAAACAACTGAAGACATTTTGCCTATTGTTTTCAAAACTATAAACCAGCCAAATGGGATCTCTGCCATGTGATAAAAACATAAGAGAAAAAATGTATCAAGATACAAAATGTAACAGCAGAAATCCCTGCTACATTGTGCTCCACTATGGGATTCTTAAGCAAGTCTCTTGACCTCCCCATAGCTCAGTGTTCTTATCTGTAAAACAATAGGAATGGCACTTGCCCTTCTTACTTCATAATGTTGTGAAAGATAATTTTGATACAGTATCTAAAAATATTTTTGGATAGTTTACAGTGGTGTATGAAATTCAGTTATTATTGCTGTGTCCCCCCCCCCTTTTTTTATTTAATAGTCTAGATTCTGAACTCCCCTGACTGTTTCTTAGGTCAAGTTCTCTGGTTGTATGACGTGGAATAGGAAACTGGAGGCATACCATGTAGATGAGATCACAGGCTTAAGGTGGGAGTCAGGGACAGACTGGAGTTTGAATTCCAAGTATACCATTTCATATTTGGTGACCTTGGGCAAACTCGCTTCTCTATGCCTAAGTTTTTTGTCTTTATTCTGTAAAATGGAAATAATAATAGTATCCACCTCATAAGCTGATGTGAAGCTTATATTAAAACATAAAATCATACATGAGATAATTTGGATGAACTCTTAATAGAGTGCTTGGGTCATTGCAGGCATGTGATAAAGATTAGCTTCCAGAAGGAAGATATCCCAACCACTCTAGATAAATGGCTGGGACCTTGGCAATGAGCTCTAGAAAGAATTGTTGCATTGGTGAGTATAAATTTTGGAGAGCCAGGCAAATGCTTCTGCGGCTGCTGCTCCTTCTCCTTTTTCTTCTTCTTCTTCTTCTTCTTCTTCTTCTTCTTCTTCTTCTTCTTCTTCTTCTTCTTCTTCTTCTTCTCCTTCTCCTCCTCCTCCTCCTCCTCCTCCTCCTCTTCCTCCTCTTTCTTCTTCTTCAAGACTGGTAGGTCCATCAAAAGTCTTTATTAAGATTTGTTTTCTCAGTGGTTTGTCATTTTCCAAACTGAAGATCCTGCCAAACTCTGAACATAATTGTTCCTAAATCAGAACTAGTCCAGAAGGCACACATGGACCAGCATGATAACATGTTCAGTAGGCATAGTGACTAGTGGGAAAGGCTTTACCATGCAGAAACAAGGAAAATAGAGTAACAACAACAACAACAGAAGAGCCTATATACACACACACAAATACATATATTATATAATATATATGTACCCATACATATACATATACATATACATACACCCACATATCTCATACATATACATAACATTTTACATATAAGATATATATTCATATGTGTATATTTGCAGATGTAAATATATATTTACAGAGAACCCAATATTATCAAGTGTTAGACGATAGTAGTAATGATGAATAATTAAATTAGACATGAATGGTTATTATTTACTAAGTGTTACGACCTAGTATAGCTATTTTATATATGTTAACTGATTTATTGCTCATATTATAAGGTAGTTGAATGTTACCACTCACACTTTACAGTGGAGGAAACTAAGACTCAGCGATATTCAGGAGCTTGCCAAAGGTCACGCAACTCATAAGAGTGGACTGGGATTTGAACCTAATTGACCTGGGTATGGTGCCCATTCTATGAAGCAATAGAACTGGTCTCAGCTAGTTGTTAGAGAAAAGTGATGCAACAAATTCATATTGCGACAGAGCAGAACAGAACATCTACTCAACCCAAATCTCTATCAAGTGAAATCTCTGGCAGTTTAACAATCCAAGATTAATGGGATGGGAGAATCTGAGTTATTGTTTTAAATGTTGATTTACTCAGTGTTCCCAACGGATGATTAATAAAGTTGAATTGATTATTCCTGGAAAAAAACCCAGATATAGACATCCCATTTTCTATAACTCTATGGTTCTAGATCAAACGGAATTATCACACAGAGAATTGGAATCAAAGGGATACATTGCAGTGCAGTTTGCATGTTAATTCGGTTTTTTATTTTTTGTTATGTTTAT